TGGGGGGGGGGGGGGAAGAGTTTCCTGTGAAAAAATGTTTTTTTTCTCTTTTAGCTCATATTGGTGAGCACATCATACAACTTTTAATCACAGAGTCTGATACTCTATACTACTACACTGATTCTATGCAACGATATATCCAGTGCTGCAAAGACAAATGATCATACCCACAAGTGCTCGCGGCTCACCATCTCTCCGATAGCAATAATCAGCAATAATCCTTCTCAGTTCTCTTTGGTTTTCCTGCTCAATTTATTTACAAAATGTTGTGAAAAAAAGGTTTTGGTATGTCTATAAGTGAAATGCAGTGGAGGTTCTTGTTTAAAGCAATCAGAACATCTGAAAGTCACCTTGCAGCAGAGATGGATCCTTCAAAATGGAACCACAGAGGCATTTAGTTTTCACCTACCTACTGTCTGATCTTCCTCAGGTTTTTTAATAACTAACATTCAACTCTTTGGTTACAATGAGAATACCATTCCTGAAGCTGGTGAGACTGACCACAGTTTGTGGAAAGATCCTCAAATTGTATAAATTTGCATAGCTCTTTCCGATGTCAGTATAGCAGTTGAAAATCGGGCCTTCAGGCTATTAAGGCCAGTCCTCTGGCCTTGTAACTTCCCTTTGTGGTTTTATTCAAGATTTAAATTTTATATTTTCTAAGTCTTGTATTCACTTATATTTTATAAATTTGGGAGAGTAGAACAGACAGAAGTTCTATAGCTGCCAGAAATTGCCAATTTCCAACATAAGAAAGCAAAGCAGGCTGAATAGCTTATGGAGATGGTAAGACTACTGAAGTATCCAACATGATATCAAAATCCTAGCACCATCTCCATTCCTTCTCCCTTCCTTCCTCTTTTTCATCTTTAAAAAGAAGCTACCATTTTAAAAAATAGGTATGTTTTTGCTGATACACCTGGTACGCAAGAACATCAACATACTAAAAGAGGGGATTGCCTTAATCTGTGTCCCTTTTTCCTTTAATCGTGTCTGTCCATGGGGCAGGGGAAAATCAAAATCCTAGCACCATCTCCATTCCTTCTCCCTTCCTTCCTCTTTTTCATCTTTAAAAAGAAGCTACCATTTTAAAAAATAGGTATGTTTTTGCTGATACACCTGGTACGCAAGAACATCAACATACTAAAAGAGGGGATTGCCTTAATCTGTGTCCCTTTTTCCTTTAATCGTGTCTGTCCATGGGGCAGGGGAAAGCAGACAGAGCAGACAGATAATTCAATCACTTCCAGATTCGAATGCAGCTATATCTCAGCTTCAACGTTCTGTTGTCTCATTATTTGAAGATCTAAATTCTCTTTTGCTCCCTTGCTTAGCTTTAGTGTCCATTGTTTTGTGGATTTCTTTTTCTATATGCTAATAAAAATCAAAGGATTTATGGAACAGTGCTACCCTAAGTGTCTTGCAAACATTACAGCAAATAAATAGAAGAAAATACCTTCATGATTTTGAAGAAAATCATAAACAATCAAACTCTCTCTGACTTGTCATTTGCATGGCTGTATTTCATACAAATTAGTGCTAATGACATAGGGAATTTGTTTTGAAACTGAACTTGTAATTTATTTTGATGTCTAAACAGAAACGGCATGGAATGTTTGGGTAAAATAGTTCATGTCAGAACTGAAAGTGCAGTCAGGAGTGTTCCAGCTGCAATCCTGTGCTTAGCATAAAATGAGTACAGAGAAAAATTTATCTCCTCTTGAATACCCTCATGCCCATCCATACCAACACAGTAGGTCGGGATATTATCTAAGTCATATGAGATGTCTCTGGCTTCAGGGGACAGTGCAGTGTCTTCTCTTCCCTGCCCACACCCATTTTGCAGGCTATTTCATCACTATAGTGTTCATACATCATCCAAGGATCCCAGCTGCTAGGACAGCCAATAGCCAACAGCCAAAACCTGTTTATATGACAGAGTTGCATCACCAGTAAAAGTTAAAGCTGCCTTAACAGTTTATAGAAAATAGTACTCAGTTCTGAAGTGTATCGATGTATCAGTAAAGCATCAAGTTACATACTGTAAGTACTCACACCGTCTCCCAGTAAAATTAATCATAAATCTATTCCTAAATTCAAGAACGAATTCCCAAATCCAAAACACTGTACCAGCTACTAGAAAGGAAACTAACTCTATCCCTGCCGAAACCAGGACACAAACAGACAATTACTTAGTTGAATTTATATATACAGTCTTTGAAGGAGCCTATGCATTTCCATTTTGTTGGTCGATAACTAGCTAAAATGCCAGTGTTAAGCTAACGCTTTTCATTATTAAAAACATTTTTAAGATGAATAATTCTTTCCAATGAGCTGAAATTTTGCTGTAAGACATCTCTGAAAATGCCTTTCACAACAGGTGAAAGTGGGCTGGTGAACAACTCTTGCTTTCAGAAGACTTTAAAAGAATCCATCTCAGACCCTGGACTATTTCTGTGGTAGCACATGTTAGGCCAGATTGTGATCTCAGTCATAGTAGTGTAGCAGGATAATGCAAGCTGCTATGCCAAAGTAAATGCTCTACTGGTTTCAACTGAATTATTTCAGAGTCATATAAATGCAAGTGGAACAGAACTGAGACTAAGTATATTAAATTAATGACGTGGCATGGTCAAAATGCAGTAGTCTATGCAAAAACACTTTCAGAAACTATCAGGACTCACTAGGCACATAGTGTTTAAAAAAAAGATGAATTATTTCCATTTTTATTTTCAGAGTGCAGGTTAATAGAGAAAAAGGAATAGTGCTACAAAATTCCTGAAGTATGAAACTCCCTAATTACTATGCATTATGTATAAAAGCAGTGTTTGGTATATGTCATATCATGGATTATCACAACTGGCTTTTACAAGCCTTCTTTTATATAAGAATCCCTCCATCCACAACTGAAGTGTTCTTGCAGATTAAGATTAATGTATCATGAATCATCACGGTTTAATATGCATGACAGTTTCATTTCACACATGTTCTGCATGGGTTGATTGCCATGTATGCCAATATCAAACAGATGTTAATGCTTTAATTTTTATGCTCCCAAAGTATATTTTAATTACTTTGGTTTAATTACGGAGGCTTGCCAAAGAAAAAGAGGAAGGTATTTTGAAGTAGGTTTAATGGAAAATTTAAAATAAAAATCCATTAGAAAATTATTTTTTAAATTCATGTTTTCAATAATGTAAATTCTAATATTAAAAAGAATACATGATATGCACAGGAACTGCAGACTGCTCTCATTAAACGGCACATTCCTTTTTGTAAACAAGAAAAGGAGGCTTGCCAAAGAAAAAGAGGAAGGTATTTTGAAGTAGGTTTAATGGAAAATTTAAAATAAAAATCCATTAGAAAATTATTTTTTAAATTCATGTTTTCAATAATGTAAATTCTAATATTAAAAAGAATACATGATATGCACAGGAACTGCAGACTGCTCTCATTAAACGGCACATTCCTTTTTGTAAACAAGAAAAGAATTATTCATTATTTTTCTAATAAAAAACATGATTTTAAAAGCCCTGCCAATTAAACACGAGCTTTGTGATATGAAATGCTTCTGCAAGTCACCTGCAAGGCACTGTATGTTTATACTATGTCTAAATTCTTAAATTCGGGCATTTTGCAAAGAAATTGAATCTCTATGTAAAACATCACTGTATAAATTCTCACATCAACAGTGGTGTATGTCTCACTTTATGGATCATCTAAATTAAAAAATCCTTAAATATAAAATATTTCACAAGTCTCCACTGTACAGAGGCCAGAAATGGAAATGAAAAGATATCCTAGGTTAAGATTAATGTATAATGAGAAAGCTGTTTCCAGCCAGCGCCAGCTCCCACTTTATGCTGTGTCAGATGCAAGCCAAGATTCTCCAGAACCAGAAGAGCAGCGGAGCCACAGGTCAGGATGGAAGAGAGTTGGCTAAAAACTGTGAGCTTTAACTAATTCCTAATTTGATCAAACGGAGTTGTTAGAGTAATTTCCATGGAAGTTAGAGCAGGTCTCTAGCTTTGGGCCTGGTCTTACTGAGATCAACAGGAACAGGAATGGCTCCCAGGGATTTTGCACTAGAATTAGTTTTAGCAAGCTGAAACAGTCTCCAGGTTGAAAATTACAATTACCAAAATGAATAATAGTAACAGTGTTATATTTGATAAATAAATATTTATGTTAGATATAATAAACAGCAGATAAACAATAACAGTAGATAAAATATTATCAAAAACAAGATATTCTGCCCCTCCCCATACCATAGAGATCTTTTTGCACAGTAATACTTCCAACAGCAGACAAATTATTTAAATTTCTTGCTTATATACTTACATGAGCTGGCATACAGCTTTAAAATGAAAATGTGAACTGACATTTTGAAAAATAACTGACAGTCATGGCACAAGAGTGCAGTGACCTCTGTCCTCCAATATTCCCTTTTTTCTTTTTTTTTTCCAAATGCCCAAATACATGCAAGGTACCTAGAAACAAAATGCTAATTACCAGTGAAACCCTAATTCCAAGGAAGTCAAAAATACAACATCCCCATTGAATTTACTGGGATGAGGGATGAATCTAAAATGTTATGTGTTACACACATACACACAAAACACTTGTGCAGATTTCTGAAAACATACACTCATCGCATTGCAGGGAATCAAGCCTGCATTCCTTGCTCAACCAAAATTCCCTGACTGGAATAACAGCTTTAGACGTTATCTTTGTTCTCATTCTGGTTTACTATGTTAAATCACCAGATTTTTTTTCTTTTTACTTAAGATAAATGTGTGAAAGTGCCTCCTTTCCATTCATAGATGTTATCTTCCTCAAACTTCAAATGATTCAGCTGGGTGAATACAGAGTTATAAATAATTTATCAAGATACATACCAGTTGTTAGGGGAAAAAAAACCCTGAAGGAAGAATATCACTGCATAAAATCTGAACATTAAAACTGTTTTTTTAAAATCAATCTTTAATTGTTTTTATTACCTCCTAATCCAGGTCTGAGACGATTATCATAACCATCCAGAAGTCTGTCTAGAATTCTTGTAAAGATGGTGATGTTATTCTTAGCTTCGTCTTCCAGGGAGTCAGCCAGCACTGATCTAAATGGACATTTTACATTTTAGAGAATGCTAGATATGTTTTAATGTACACTCAACATGCAGTTTTTGCAGGCTGGCCTTGAATATTTAACTTGCTGCCCTCTAACAGGAAGGGTGTAGTTAAGAGTATATGAATACACAATTTATATATAACATGTTCAGAAACATAAGAGTCGACAATATACTATCTAAAATTTCCAAAAGTCATTTTCCAGTAGCCTCTACTTCTAGTCAACATTGCACCACCGTGAGTGCTACTTCAAGCTCCACGAACACATTTGGCTGTGCAGGTGCAAAAGCCTAAAAGAGCTTCCCAGGCCTCGGTGGCACGTCACTCCCGGACTGATAACCCGGGTTCCCACACACAAAACTGTCTCCTTCCAGCTCTATCCTATCTGTCCTCACCTAAGTATACTCTCTCTCTGGATAAATCCTGTGGATATGCTTCCACCCAATGGTCATGTAACGTACATGACGAGAAGAACTAACATGAGGGAAAACTCCAGCGATCATGCTCAGGGAGTCCTCTGATGTCAGTATTTGGTGGGTGGGAACAACGATGCTGACTAGCAAGCTGCAGGATAGCTGTGGATAGCCTTCATGTTTCTAAAATGCTATTTTGTTATAAAAAGCACTACCTGATGTTCCACTAGATGCAGACAAACCTTATAAAAGCTGGATAGAAAAAAATCGTTAATGAAGTGTCAAGAAGACTCTATAGATTGTTTCAAACTTCCCCGATAAAGAAAGAGATGTTACAGCCTTTATGGGTCATATCTCTGTGGAAAACACTAGGGGCTGGAACATGAATCTGCTGCCCAGCCAGCTGCAGTGTTGAACAGTCCTCCCGGAGCTGGACACCCAGACCAAAGGTTTTGTGTACTAGGGAAACGCTCCCATGCAGAAAGCCTTACACATGCAAATGTTACTGTGCCAACATTGTTAAGCACCGTGCATGTGAAATGCGTGAGCTCATCAGTCTTACCTACTTAACACCGGAATATTAGTATCAAGGAAGTAAAGCACCATACGCCACACGTATTATCATTTATATCTTTTTCAGCCACCTAAATTTTTAACCTGAAATGTTTGAGTATTTATCATCTCTCAATGAAGTACTGATAAAGGCATTCTGAATGCCATAAAAACAAGCATGTTTTCTTCCTCCTCCAAACCAGAAGTAGGTTTGGGTGACGTTTTCTCTAAAGCAAGCTATAAAATGATTAAAGACAGGGCTTTATGTTGGTCCCCAATTCAACAGCACGGAGGAAGTACTTAAATGTAAATCATTGCAGTCTGTGCTTTCCATCACATAAACCACAGAATCGACCCAAATCAGATTAACTTATAAAGAACGTACCAAAATGTCATGTGTGATTTTACTGATGTGTGAGTTTTTTCTTCATTTTAATTACTGGATGGCTCATTTTTTATTTTTAAAATGTATTTCTGTACTGTAAGTCTCTGCCATTTTTTAAGCTTCTTTTTGAGAGACAACAGTTTTTTGAACTCAAGATACCACTAAAAAATTAGATCACGCAATTATATCAAATTAGGGTCGAATCCTGCAAACTTTACTCAGGCATAAACTCCTTAATTACGCATGTAGTCTCTTTGACGTCAGTGAGATTACTCACTTGAGTAGGGTTTGCAGGATCTGGCCCACTGTGACTCAACTAATACTGCACCATAGTTAGGCATAAAGTGAAATAGGAAACATAGTTTCAGGAAGTATTTTGTTCACTAGAAAATAGACAAAAATAAATGCAGACTTTTGAAATCATAGGAAACTTGCATTTTTTAGCTTACGACCCTTGCCGTATTAGGACAAGACCTACTGCAGTCAGAAGCAAAGCAAGTACACCGAAGTTACAAACTACAATTAATTGCATGTTTAGGGACTGTGGGCAACACAAAACTATTACGTGATTAAAATTACTTTCTCTTATGTTGTCACTTTAGAAATGGAGAACTTCAAACAACATAAGAAAAGTTGATTAATAAATGAGGCTATTGTTTTATTATATCTGATTGTGAAGTTGTATGCTATCTCCACCTAGAGGTTTAAAGCTTAAGTATCATTTTGAATTCTGTTATGTTGACTAAAAAAAAGACCAAAAAAAAAAAAGGCATGCCCGTACTAAAAAATATGCGAGCATTATTTTAGAGACTGTGATTTGCTATTTGACTTCACGATAATCTATTTCTCCATCTTAACTGTTCTGTATGGTACAGAATCACAGTCATACAGTAACTCCAATAAATCTTTAAGATCCAACAAGGCATTTAAAGGAATTATTTTTTTTAATGGTGAAATAAAGCACCAATTCACAAACTGTTTAAGGACAAGAGATTAGGCTTATATGGTCCCTAGACTACCTTCTACTGCATTTGCTCTGGAAACTATGCAATACTGCATTCAAACAGCTGAGAAAGATTTTTTTATTACATTACTACATACTATACTTTTATAACCTCTCACACAAGCGTACCCTTAGCAGACCGTTAACAGACACGTTTGTACTGAGCAACAAAATTAAACATCCTCTCACCTTGTTGGTAGCCACACCAATAAAACGAGAAGAACCAACTGCATCTCGGAGAGTGCCAGCTTCCTCTTCATCGCTGCTCTTCGCGAAACCTAACCGTGCAAGAAAAACACAAACCCACTCTCAGCTACAGTCAGTCTCCGCCAAGCAGTGCTTTCAACTTAACCCGAGGAAAAATATGTCACTTCAGTGGAGAAAGGAAACCACCGGGTTTCTGCAGCACTTTTCACTCCTAGCAACTTATTGTATCTCCATCTTTCCCAACGATCCTGCTCTGTGCAAAGAGGCAACGTATGATCAAAAGTGGCACGCGAGCAGACGCATCAGATGCTTTCCTTTTCCGTAAGCTGAAAGCCCCAAGACGAAAAGGAACAAAAAATAAAAAACGTATGTATAAAAAGATGGGGGGTTAACCATTCCTCCCCTCGC